TAATAGGACATCATAATAAGCTATGTGACAAGATCTTTAGAGATAATGATTTCTTGATATATATATTTGAAGATTTATTTCAAATCCTAAAAATGAATTGAAATAGGCAAAACATAGTATAAATTAAATCTTGTCATTTTTAGGTCACCTGAGTCACTCAGGTGACCTATTGTTATCTGTTTTTGTCTGCCACCGTCCCTCATGCGATGTGCTTCAGTCTTAAACTTTTAAACATTTTTCAGCTTCTTCTCTTGAACCGCTAAACCAATTTCAATCAATTTTGGCATAAAGCATCGTTGGGTGAAGTGGTATAAAAATTGGGAATTTCATGTCCCTGCACCCTGGCGAAAATGCGCTATTTTTTTTTGAAAGTCTTCTCTGATCCTGCATATTAAGCAAACAAACTATATGTATAGTTATGATGAGCAATGGTGCCTCCTCCAGAATTGTGAAATTTGTGGCCCCAGAGTCAGGGGTTCTGGTGTGTATGTGTGTGTGGGCAGGGGGGAGGGGCTCTATTGATTTTGTAGTGAAAGCATATTTTTTCTTCTCTGCTTGTGGGTATTAGGCAAACAAAAGTGCCTAGATATGAAGAGCAAGAATGCCTCTTCTAAAAATGTGAATTTCATGGCCCCTGTTTCCGAGGTTCTGGAATTAGGACAGAGCTCTATAACTCAGGTATTGAAAATGCATAAATTATCTAAATATCTTCTTCTCTGTTCTTAGGTATTAAGCAGACTAACTAATTACATAGTTATGATGAGCAAGGATGCTTCTCCCAAAATTATGAAATTTATAGCCCCTAGATTTCTTTGAAAATCTTCTTCTCTGCCCCTGGGTACAGATGTATTAAGCAAACATACTTAGTGCATGGTTATGATGACAAGGGTGCTTCTTCCAAAATTGTTTATTTCTTGGATCTTGTGTTTAGGGCCTCTGGTGTTTGGGCAGGGCTCTATTAATTTGTAGTCTACTGAGAGAAGTTATTCCATTTTGCTATTCACCTATGATAATTAGTCACTGTAAATAATGTAATTTAAAAACTCAATTGAATAAGAGAATTATTTTAAAAATGTTTAATGCAAAAAGTACTTTCATTGTTTTTCATGGTCAGATAGAGTTGTAAATAATAGATAAATAGAGACACAATACCCAATACCTTATCTTTGATTACCATTCATGGTAGCTCAGTTGGTAGAGCGTTCGCTCTGTGATCGGGAGGTCATGAGTTCGAATCTAGGCCACGACTGTGCTCAGTCATTAAAAAATGGGTAGCAACTGTTCCTTCGCCATGCGTTTGGCACTTTGAAGTGAAAGTTGCAGGTCCTTTGGATGAGACCTTAAAAACCGAGGCCCCGTGTCATGGCAGGGGTTGGCACAATAAAGATTCCTTACTGCTCAATGGCCCTGAGTGCCAAGTAAAGGTCAAAATTTGAAGCCCTTCACTGGTATATGGTGATGTCTCTACATGAGTGAAAAATTCTCGAATGGGACTTAAAACAACATACAATCAATCAACCTTATCTTTGAACATTAAATGTTCTTCAAAGTACAAGAGATATATTAATATTATACTTTAAGTATGTATTCACCTTAACCTTGATGTAGGGAAAGGGCTAAAATAGGCTATGCCTGCTGCCCAATCCCATTCACTTTTTTGTGAATAAAATTATGAATAATAAATTTTAAAAAAAAAACAAAAGAGGCCAGTGTGAAAGTGAATGAGATTGGTTTTCTAATAGTGCACAAGCACTATTGCTTTGTTAAGTCAGAATGGTGATAGTGACAAATTGGGGCATGTACATGTACAGGCAAGTAAATAGAACTACTTTATGATTTGTTAATTAGTACTAGACTAGTTATTTTGTTGAACCCTGATCATCCTATTTCTGTTTGTTTTGGGCAACGTACTGTCATCTTTCAGTTTTATTATACCCCTGCAAATGACCTTGTCTGTCTCTCTGTGCATTCTTATCTGGGGTATAACTTGGTAATAGAGAATCATTCAAATCTCATACTTGATAGGAACCTCTTCCAAAATTGTGAATTTCATTGCCCCTGGATTAGGGGTTCTAGTGTTAGGATGGGGCTCTATTGATTGTATAGTGAAAATGCATTAAGTCTTTAAAAATCTTCTTTGCTCCTGGTTATTATCAAAACAAACTAAGTACATTGTTATGATAAGTAAGGATGCCCCCTCCAAAATTGTGAAATTCATGCCCCAAGGTGAGGGGTTCTGGTGCTAGGGCAGGGCTATATAGATCGTATAGAGAAGGTGAATTATTTCTTTGAAAATCTTCTCTGCCCTTGGGTATTATTTAAACAAACAAAGTACATTGTTATGATACGCAAGTATGGCTCTTCCAAAATTGTAAAATTCATGGCCCCAGGGTCAGGGATTCTGGTGAAAGTGGGGTGGGGGGGAGGGGGAGGCTATATTGGTCTCGGTAGGGAGGGGATGGCTCTATTGATATTATAGTGAAAGTGTGTTATTTCTTTGAAAATCTTAACTAAGTGCATAGTTATGATGATGAGGGTATCTTTTCCAAATCTGTAAATTTCATGACCGTGGGTCATGGGTTCTGGTATTAGGGTAATTGAGGGCTGTGTTGAATCTGTGGTAAAAATGCATTATTTCTTTAAATATCTTCTCTGCACCTGGGCATATCAGAGGCAAACAGACTAAAAGTTTTAATAAGGAAGGGCATTTTTGTTGTATGTTGATTAGTGATAAATGGGGAACAGGTTAGAATTTATGAACTGTTAATGAATACTTGACTAATTATTTTGTTGATCCTCAGATCATCCTATTTTTCTTGCTTTTGGGCAACAAAGCTTCACCTTTCAGTTTATTTTATACTCTATGGATCCTCTAAATTGTTGTACTCAGGTGACCGTTAAGGCCCTTGGGCCTATTGTTGAAGCATTTAATATTACCTATAACAGTGCAACAACATTTTTTAGACCTGAACAATTCAGCATCTTAAAAAAGTACATGCGTCATTTGTCACTGTGCACTTCAGATATGAAAGTCTCCCAAATGTCTTTGAATTTGCATGGAGGTTAAATTAGCATGTACAAACCACACTTGAGGATTCTGAATATGATATTTTAGTGTGTTAATTACTGTTGATTTCTCCTTAATAAAAATACCAGAGTTTCAGTACATCCTCAGTACACCCTGATTCCACATTGACCTTTAATTAAACCTACTTTATAAGATATTCTGTACCATAGATGGACTTCATTTATTTTAATTTGAATGGATAGGGCGTTTGTTGACATTCAATTAAATTGTAGCAAGATTTTTTGGTATAAATAAAATTATCAACTGTGTTGGTTTATACTTTAAATCTTTGGCATGGTTTTTAAGAATTCTATATTTTCATAAATGTTTTGCAGTATATTTTGCAGTTGTAAAAGAGAAAACTGTAGATTCCATATTTTTTGCAAGTACTTATTGTCACGATATGACTCTACATCAAACCACAAGAACAATAATTCATGAGTGGATGGTTGTTCAAGATATTTTACATGGATTTTAGCACCATAGAAATAAAAGCAAGTAGTTTTATTTAGGGAGTGGTGTTTATCATGAAATTATGCGATAATTAATTTCTCACATATATTTAGGAATATATAGTAATAATCTGTTGGAATAATTCAAAATGCTACACACATAAGTATCAAAATTAAACAAGAAACAGAATTCTTTTTGTCTTCCTTCAGACTTGATACAGTTGAACTTCATTATCTTGAACACCCATATGAATACCAGGGATATGCTGAAGTGATTTGACAGTCCCAATCACTTTTTCTGATACATGTATTGAATTATCATATTGTTTAGTCTTGAATCCTGGGATATCTCAAAGTTTAGTCTCGGTCTCTTGTTGAGTTGTCAATAACTAGGTTTGATTGTTTATGGTATGTGACTATGTGTTGCAATTATTTCATGTATTAATTTAATAAAAAGGTGACCTATTCTAATCCAATTTCATCTGTTGCCATATCATATGTGCATCATCTCTTATTGAATTTCTGAACAATTTTTATCTTCTTCTCTGAAAGATCAATCAGAACTTTAAAAATTTGGTTAATAGCATATTTGGGTAAAGGGAGATAAAAAATTGAGAATATTTTTTTTGTCCTTATGAAGGTTTGGGCAAAAAGTGTCAGTATTTTTGAAAACCTTCTGCTTTACTCCCAGACGTTTAGGAAGCAGACTGTGTCTATATGATTATAATGAGCAGTGAGCAACTTACCAAAATTTTTAAAATCATGATTTCTGGTAGCAGTGTTAAGGTTTTGGTGAAGGATAAGTAAATAAATATATTGGAGATGCCTTAAATCTTGAACTTCTAGAAACAATGCAAAATTTATTTGGTCTATTGATTTATATTGGATGAGTTATTACTTTTATTGTTTTCATCAATCTTAAGTTGTTTATTAACTAATGTCTAATATTTATAAATTTTTAATTTATAAGGACCATAATCTAAACTAGCCATGTGTCATGTTTTACTCCACACAGTGAAGTTGTAGTCTATACTAGAATCATTGTGTCCATTTGTCAGTCTTTCCATCCATCTGTATGTATCTAATATATGTATGTAGACACAGGTCAAAGCATTTAGGTCTATTAGGACAGCTCTAGTGCAATGAAGGCTAACATTATCATTACCATCCTTATTATTATAATCAGAAAATTTCTACCAATGAATTGCTTGGATTTTCAGGCGTTGCTGACAAACAAGATTACATAAGCTTTGAGTTTAGTAAACAATGTTTGCACCAACTCGGTGAAATTAACCCTCAATTTCCCCTTGATAATGCTTGTTCTGGTGTGAAATATACAGACTTTGTCACTGTTTGACTGCTCAGTGTGATGTACCCAGTAAATATAAACAAGTCACCGCCTATTGAAAGTCTAAGGTATTGATAGATTTGTAATACTAGTGCTATATTTTTAGTGCTTTGAAATTTTATTTTTTTTACAGAATGGGTTTCTACAAGAGTTGGCCGATTTTGAGTTACAATATCACTCTGTTTACCACCCATTATCAATCATCAAACAAAAGGTATATGAAAATAATTAAAGAAAAATATCTTTAAACCTCTGTTTTTGATGAACCTACTTTTTTCAATATACTTTCAGATGGTTTATTAAATATAGATACAGAACAGGCCTGTAGGAAGCAATTTCACTTTGAGGGGGCACAACCATGCATTTTCAGTTGGGGGGGGGGCAACTTTTAACTACCAAAATTCCTTGACAAGCAAAAAAAAAGGTCATCAGACATTATTATTATTGAGGGGGCACAAGCATATAGTAGATATGTTTTCTAAAGTATTGTATTTATTGGCAAAATTCTTGCCCCCCCCCCCATTTCCTACGGCCATGTAGAATATATGAATACAGTTTTCTTTTTGTTTCTGTACAATTATAGATTGAACAAGTGGTGAATATTGCTGCTACCTTTCCTGCTGTCATGAAGTATGATGAAGAGATGACTCTAAGGCAAGACAGTTTCTCTGAAAATATTTTTTTCTTTGTGATTTAATTCAAAGAAAAAATTGGAAGAGTTAGAGAGACTGATTATTAATCCATATGAAAAAAAAAAGTGAGAGAGAAATTAATCTTTCACAGAGACCGTCGTCAGCCATTAGAGGTGTATAGAGAGGATAGTGGAGCATACGCTGAAGTACAGGGTGTCACAAAATTCATTGTTTTGTTGGTATGCCAGGACTGGTGTTGTCATCACACGGTGGAGGAAATAAATAAAAGGTTTTTATTAATTACTTTCAGGTGTAATTTTCTTCATGAAATCCATTGGAAATCTAGAACATTTAATACCCTATAATACACATGAATCTTTGTCACTGTGCGGTAGGTTATTCACAGCCATATGCATTTTCAATACTCTAGGAACACCAAAATGTAAACTGTTTTGGCTCAATTTAATTTTAAAAAATTATCCTATTAATTTATTGTAAAAATTTAACAATTGTACTTTTAAAATTAATATGTCATTTTTTCCCTCACAATACTGTAAACCAAATTTTATTCCAGTATGAGAAATATTCGCGAGTTTCACAGCCTACTTAAACTCACGAATATTAATTGCCGCGGACATTTATTTAAGATAAAGATATACAAAATTAACAATTAATAAGAGAGAAAATTAGAGAATGTAAATATAAGCATTGAAATCATTTTTTTGGATGTCGTCGGTCCTATAAGAGCACCTGTCTGTGCTAACAAATTATCATACCGCTCTAACATGCAATATTCAGTTTGTCAGCATGGTGCTGTTATAGGACCAATGACATCCAAAAATAAGAATTCATTGCTAAAATAAATGCAACATTAAGGAACATATTACAGAATGTCTAATAAAAGCACTAGTATGAAATTCAAAGGTAATGAACATTGCACAAAAGTTCATTTAAACAACATAAGTTGTGAGCAGAGGCAACACAGACCTCTGAAAACAGTATAATTTTTATTCTGCGAATTGTATTCACATCTGGGCCATTTTTTCTGTTCCTACTTTTAAATTTGCATGTTTTCTGCAAGAAAAGGATGATTATATTAATTCATCCTTTAGTGTAGAAACATATTTGGTTCACCTGAACCAGAGGCTCTGTTCAGTTTTACTGACAAATATTGACTGTTATCATCTATAAACATTTTACATTTCCAAAAATGTTCACCAGCAACAAGAAGCTAATTTTATTATACTATTGACTCTGTTTGAACCAGAACAAAAGGTTTCTTTATGTAATTACTTTGTTCAGAACAAAAATTTGTGACTCGATCATTCAGGTTAACTAATGTTCACTTTAATGTTGATTTTTAGTTAGGCCTATACAAAATTATGCTTCAATTAAAATTATAATTGCTCTCTATAAATTAACTCGACATTTGACGAATAGTCTCTTTCAGGTGTTTAGTGATGGAAGATCCCTGGTCCAGGCCCTGATGAAGGAGAAACTCTCTACACTCTACAGGTTTCAGGCCAATCAAAAGAAAACTGATGGAGATGGAGGGGGTTGTGGGGAGGCTGAAATTGTGGGTCTGCTGTATCGAATTCTGATGGAGTTACACACAGTCCAACAACAGGTGGTTGGTACCCTCAGCACCAAACAGGAACAACTAGAGAGAAAAAAACTCAGATCCAGACAAAGACGGAACCTTGTATTATTGATAAGGAGGTAAGAACTCAGATCTAGACAGAGTCAGAACCTTGTATGTCTGATAAGGAACTCAGATCCAGGCAGAGTCAGAAAATTATATGATTGTCTAATAAGGAACTTAGATCCAGTTAGACAGAACCTTGTCACTCAGGTGACCTATTGCTATTTGTTTTCGTCCGTCATCGTGCGTCATCCGTCGTGTGTTAACATTTGAACATTTTCAGCTTCTTCTCTGAAACCGCTGAACCAATTTCAGCCATTTTAGCATATGGCATCTATGTGTGAAGGGGAACAAAATTTGTGAATATCATGGTCCCTGCCCCCCTGGGGCCTGAGGGGTGGGGCTAAGACCACCAAAATGAATGAAATCTTTAAAAATCTTCTTCTTTACTCCTGGACATCAAGCAGTCAAACTGTTGGCATGATTGTAATAAGCATTGAGCCCTCTACCAAAATTGTGAAATTCATGGCCCCAGGGTCAGGGGTTCTAGTGCTAGGGCAGGGCTATATAGATCATATAGTGAAAGTGCATTATTTCTTTGAAAATCTTCATCTCTACTCCAGGGTATTATTGAAACAAATTAAATACATAGTTATGATAAGCAAGAGTGACTCTACCAAAATTGTGAAATTCATAGCCCCAGGGTCAGGGGTTCTGTTGCTGGGGGGGGGGGGGGGGGTCTCTATAGATCATATAGTGAAAGTGCATTATTTCTTTGAAAATCTTCATCCCTACTCCTGGGTATTATTGAAACAAATTAAATACATAGTTATGATAAGCAAGAGTGACTCTACCAAAATTGTGAAATTCATAGCCCCAGGGTCAGGGGTTCTGTTGCCTGGGGGGGGGGGGGGGCTCTATAGATCATATAGTGAAAGTGCATTATTTCTTTGAAAATCTTCTTCTCTACTCCTGGGTATTATTGAAACAAATTGAATACATGGTTATGATAAGCAGGGGTGACTCTACCAAAATTGTGAAATTCATGGCCCCAGGGTCAGGGGTTCTGGTGCTAGGGCGGGACTATACGGATCATATAGTGAAAGTGCATTATTTCTTTGAATATCTTCTTCTCTACTCCTGGGTATTATTGAAACAAATTAAATACATATAGTTATGATAAGCAAGAGTGACTCTACCAAAATTGTGAAATTCATGGCCCCAGGGTCAGGGGTTCTGTTGCTAGGGGGCTTTATAGATCATATAGTGAAAGTGCATTATTTCTTTGAAAATCTTCTCTACTCCTGGGTATTATTTAAACAAATTAAATACATAGTTATGATAAGCAAGGGTAGTGAATTTCATGACCCCTGGATCAGGGGTTCTGATGTTAGGGCCAGACTCTATTTATTATATAGTGAAAATGCATTAATGCTTTAAAAATCTTCTTCTCTGCTCCTGTGTATTTTTGAAACAAACAAGTAAGTACATGTTATGATAAGACATGATGCCGTTCCAAAATTGTGAAATTCATGGCCTCAGGGTCAGGGGTTCTGGTTCTAGGGTGAGGCTGTATAGATCCTATAGTGAAGGTGAATTTTTTCTTTGAAAATCTTCTTCTCTGCCCCAGGGTACTAATTAAACAAACTAAGTACATTGTTATGATATGCAAGGATGCCTCTTCCAAAATTCTGAATTTCATGGCCCCAGGGTCAAGGGTTAATGTTAAAAGGTGGGGGGGGGGGGGGCTCTATTGATTATATAGTGAAAAAGCAAAATTTTGTTGAAAATATTCTTTTCTGCTTCTGCTTAAAAAGCAAAGAAGCTAAGTATATAGTTATGATGAGCAAGAGTGCTCTTCCAGAGTAGTGAATTGCATGAACCCGGGTCAGTTGTGCTGGTGTAAGGGTGGGGCTCTTGATAATATATTGAAAATGCATTAATTCTATTAAATAATTCTGTCTGCTCCTTAGTGTTGAGCAGATAAACAAAGTGATTACTTATGATGAACAAACTTCTGGTCCCAGGGTGAGAGACTCTAGTGTTTCTCGGTTGGGAGGGGGGGGGGGGGCTCTATTGATAGTGAATCTGTAGTAAAAATGCATTATTTCTTTAAAAATCTTCCCTGCACCTGGGCATATCAGAGGCAAAAAGATTAAAAATTTTAATAAGGAATGGTATTTTTACCAGATTTTTGAACATCTGGACCATTTGGTCAAGTGTTCAGGTCCTAGCCAGGGCTCTATTAATTTGTATTCTACTGAGAGGAGTTATTCCCCTTTGCCATTTACTTTTGATAATTAATCACTGTAAACAATGTACTTGAAAGGTTAATAGAATAAGAGAATTATGCAAGAATTTTTTTTGTATAATACAAAAAGTATTTTCGTAGTTTTAATGATCAGGTAGACTTGTAAGTAATAGATAAATAAAAATGGAACAAAAATAACTTGTCTTATTAAATGTTCATCAAAGACCAAGAGAGGCCAATGTAAGAGATTTCAACAAGGAATTAAAATAGCACAGAAGCACTGATAGTTTTTTAATATACTGTATGATGATAGTGATAAATAGGGAACAGATTAGAACCTTATTTATAAACTGTCAATGAATACTAGATTAATTATTTTGTTGATCCTGATCACCCTATTTTTCTTGCTTTTGGGCAACAAAGCTTCACCTTTCAGTTCATTTTATACTCTGTGGATCCTCTGAATTGTTGTATTATACTCAGGTGACCGTTAAGGCCCTTGGGCCTCTTGTTTCACTAGTGTGCCTCTGTGCCTACACTGTTGTATTTATATGTTATTTTGATGTTCTAGCTGCCCATTTTTTCACTAGTGTGCCTCTGTGCCTACACTGTTGTACTTATGTGTTTTAATGATGCTACAGCCACCCATTTATTCACCAGCTGGCCTCTGTGCCCATACTGTTGTATTTATATGTTATTTTGATGTTACAACCACCCATTTTTTCACTAGTGTGCCTCTGTGCCTACACTGTTGTACTTATGTGTTTTAATGATGCTACAACCACCCATTTAAACACTAGTGTGCCTCTGTGCCCACAATGCTCTACTTTTACAATATTTTGATGTTACAGCTGCCCATTTTTTCACCACTGTGCCCACATGGTCGTACTGATCTGTACTTGGAAGCTGTATTCTCTTAGCACTCATCCAGGATCAAAGGTCATCAGGTAAATCAACTTCACACAAGCTCTATTACTTTGAACCCTAAAAATCTCAAATATCAATGTTATGTTAAAGTGAGTTGGAAGTTCCAACCACTTATTCTTTATGTATTTTATTCTCAATATCTCAAATCCATGAATATCTTTTTTTAGCCCATTTTTCTAAGCCACTTAAGATTACAAGTTTTTTAAAACTACATCTCAAAATTTCAGAGTATTTCAAGTCGACACATCAAAATGTGTCTTTTTCTTTACTCTATTTCACACTGTATGTTCAAAATTCACATAAGGATCTTGAAGTCAAATATAGAGGAGTTTAAATCAGTTGAATACCAGTCAGTTTCAATGCTTATTTAATATTTTTCTTATTGCAAATATAAATTTAAAGATGAAATGCAGGGGGCATTACTCCCATTAGGACATTCCTATTTTGTTTGGGTATTTAAATAATTTTGCATCATGTTCTGCTTTCAGGTTTTTAAAGCTTTTGTTACAGTTTGTTGAAAATCTGAGAACATTCACCAGACCCGAGAAAAACAAATGGACCGAGAGCATAAACTTGTACTGCGAGTTTATACCAAAGATCAAGGACACTTTAATAGCACTCAATGGTACACTTGCATCCATGAAAAGCTAAGGTGAGGGTATGGTACTTTTATATGAAATATTCTAACAATTTTTTGCTTTTCAAATACAGTTGAAGTTTGGTATCTTGGACATTGATATCTGGAAAACCATGGATATGTCTAAGTAATTTGAATATCCTAACAACTAATCATGTACCATACTAATTTTTTTTACCCTTGATATCTCTTATCCTCAGATATCTCAAAGGTTTTTTTTTCTGAGTCCAGTCTAGTTCTTTTGCCTGTATTAAAAAACACACACACACATATATAATGGTCTTTAGATTATGTTGTATACAAAAATATAAAAATCAAAGTCAGAATAGTTTGGATTGGATTTGGTTGGTTGAACTAATATTTAATATGAAAATCTGCATTTTAAATGGTACATGTAGCAGTGCAGTGCAAGGCCCAAGATAAAATGTTAATAATTAAGAAAAAATGTTCAAAGTTTTTGGGTGATTTAAATGATCATATTTTTTTTGTGAAAAACAAGTCAAGACTTAATAAAATTTACATGTGGCCAAATGATAAAATGTCCATAATTTAAAAAAAGGGGAATAAAGTTTTTGGATGATGTAAATGATCATATATATATTTTTTTAAAGTCAAGACTTCATAAAATTTATATGTGGCCAAATGCCAGTAAATTAATTCTTTTTTATACATCCCCATGCTGTTGAGTTTGCAGGAAATCAAGGAAAAGAAAAACAACCACAAATTCATCAAATTAAAAAAAAAATCTGTTTTTCAGAAATGTTGGAAGCCATTCAATATTAAGGTCCTTTTCTTTCTTAATCTGAAAGAAAAAGAAACAAATAAAAAATTCTCAAATTAGATTGATTGATTGATTGTATGTTGTTTTACGTCCCATTCGAGAATTTTTTCACTCATATAGAGACGTCACCTTATACAGGTGAAGGGCTTCATATTATGACCTTTACCCGGCACTCAGGGCCATTGAGCAGTGAGGGATCTTTATTGTGCCAACGTCTGCCGTGACACGGGGCCTCGGTTTTTAAGGTCTCATCCGAAGGACCCGCAACTTTCACTTCAAAGTAATGAGCGCATGGCGAAGGAACAGTTGCTACCCATTTTTATCAACTTAGGTCAGTCGCGGCCGAGATTCGAACTCACAACCTCCCGAACACGGAGCGAACGCTCTATACCGACTGAAATACCGTGAACGGTTCTCAAGTTAGAAAGCAAAACTTTAAATTCAAGCACATTTTATCATACTTGTGTTGTCATGGTTATTTTGTGAAATTGCAGTTTTTGAAATGATTAAAATACACTTTTAAAATAAATAATACAACTTGTAACATCTTTCTTTTTCATTTATAAGACTATGTCAGTATTTTGCTAACTATTAAATATGGGGGGAGGGTTAAAAAAAATTATCATTTTTTATTATATTTTTTACTAGAGGCTTTTTCAAAGATATATGGGATGTACGTGAAACAAATATGTAATTTACCACGGCCTAACTGAATTGATTGATTGTATGTTGTTTTACGTCCGATTCGAGAATTTATCACTCACATAGAGATGTCACCATATACCAGTGAAGGGCTTGAGAATTATACTGGGCACTCAGAGCGATTGAGCAGCGAGGCCTCTTCATAGTGCCAACGCCTACAATGACCTCAGTTTTAAGGTCTCATCCAAAAGACCCATAACCTTCACTTCTAGTGTTAGACACTTGCCAAACGAATCAGAATCGGACCCGGGCCCCCTGAACACGAAGTGAACGCTCTACCCCTAGGCTACTGAGATCAGTCCTAACTAAATTGACTGAAGTCATTTTCTGATGTCATTGGTATTCTTTATTTAAACAATTAGAGGACAATTCAAAAAAAAAATGAAAGAAAAAAAAATCTTTGAAAATGTCCCCAAAAGCAACATCAGTCATTCAACTGGACCAGTCGAAATAAAATGATCAAAATTGTGTGCCCACAATCATTTTGCCCATAAACCCTGAAGCTTTAATTTTGCTTGTTTGCGAAATTTTCTGGCACATGTCCACATTATAATTTGGCAAACTCTTCCTCCTCTCCTTACTACTGGACAGGTGTATTTTAGAATGAACAAGGAGAGTTTCAAGTTTTCCTGTTCTTTATAAAGAAATAAAATGGAAGGAATAGAACGCATTTCTAAATGGCTTCGGGGAAGGCCATTCTACCCATATGTTAAGCAGGCAATATTCTTGACAAGTTGTTGATTTAGTTTCATTTTTGTGTTACCTATAAGATTTTGTCCTCTGAATTATCCTGCTAAATTAATGTTTTCCTATAATGTGTCTGCTATTATATTAATTATACTGTCTGTGAATATTTTATTGATAAATTATATTTTTCTGTGTACAATGTATTTTGCAAAAACTGAAAATGCTTAAGGATATCTGCTCCTCAGCTAGACATGTTATCTCTTAAATTATTATTTAAGGACACTCTATACACCAATGAAAAAAAAGGGGGGCTCTGAGAAAATTTTATCATAAAAAGAAATTGCATGCGAATGTAGTGATTACTGAAAACTGAAAACACATTCATTCTTTAAGAATCTTCTCAGTACATATCAGTTGAGCTAAAATTTCATACAGGAGTTTTAAGAATAGCAGACGTATATATATTATTCAACTACTCTCTTATAAGAAAAATTAAGAAAAAATTCAATGACCACCAGGCACATAAAATCATCGTTCAAAGGGGAAAGGAGGGGGACTAAAAATTAGGACGAAAGACTTCTCATAAATGGTGCATGTGGGAGAGGGGGGCTTTATTGGAGGCCTTCATCTCTTTTTTAAGGTTCATTGTCCCCCCTGATAAGAGAGATAACTCCCCTTTGAATAAATTACTATTATAATTTTTATAAAATTGTCAAGTTTAAAGGTCGTTTGTATCAAATTTTGCCTCGAAAGACATGCTGAAATTATTTGCATTTTATCTAAATTCAGTATTTCTTTTGGAAATTCATTAGCCTTAAAGGCTAAAGCAAAATTTTACATAACAATTTTTTCAATGATTAAATAAAATTGTTAGTGTGAGAAAAAATCCAACATGTTATACACTTGTGTTTTTGTGACAATTTTAGTATATTTTCGTCCAATATACAACAATTCACATACCAGCGTACAGATTTCGGAAAATCTTTGAATGAAAGCAATCGTTTTGGAGGAATTAGAATTTGTGTAACGGCAAAAAGACGCTTGTTCTCATTGGTTTTACGTAGATATGATTATATATATATATATATATATATATATATATATATATATATATATATATATATATATATATATATATATATATATATATATATATATTACAAAATAATGATTGTCACTACCTGTATTAAGCATAAAACGTTTATTAATAGACTGCTAGTATAATAAATATTGATTTTGGCCTATGAAACAAAGAACATTGACATCTCTATTTTTATTTTTCTTCTTACCTCTCTATAAAAATTAAAGATTATTGATTTTTACTTTTGAAGTTATTCCCCCCCCCCCCCGTAAAAAACTTGAGGATCACAGTAATGGAGGGTAGGGGAACTGAAGAAAACGCAGGGAGAACGAATATTTGCAAGCACGTAATAATTAAGTCAATGGAAGGCGTGCCATTGAATTAAATAAATGTTTTGGTATATGAAGAACGCCATGAAAAAAAAACCGTTGCAACATTTTAGGTCGATAACATGCAAAACTTTATATAAGCCTTAGAAACGATAGCTTCCATAAATGGCGTATAAACAAAGACGTCACCAAGTGAAGGTGCTAATTGACAGGTCAAATATAAATAATATTTTAATCTTTTTAGATTATTTGTCGTATGATGAGAAATGATGGAGAACGTCTCTTCCTCGCTGGAAAATCTACCAAAGCATAGTGACCAAAATTTCAGTGTGTCGGATTACGGATACATCGTTATCACAGCACTACTGACGCCTTCCGTCCTCTCTTTTAGCACTCTGGTTATCGGAGTTATACGGAAATTCAAACGACTTCAGACGCCTACCAACTTCTTCATTGCATCGCTGGCTTCTGCAGACATTTTGGTGGCCCTGATGATTCCAATTTTTACCACCTCTTTACTTCTGCCGGCGAATTTATACCACGAACTCGTTTGCTCGATCCCAAATCGTTTGCTGATCTTGTCTTGTGGTGCGTCGATCCTCTCTTTAGCAGCAGTGGCGTTTGATCGCTACATTGCTTTGACGAATTCTCTAGAATACGTTCAGATCATGACAAAGAGGAAGACTTATAGTCTTATAGTGTCTGCTTGGATCTATTCAGCTTTGATTGTATCTATTCCAATGTCATTTACAAAAGACCATTCCGTTGGAAACCCGCGAAAGAATTGCGGGTTTGGACATATCCACCCGCGTGGTCATTTGCTCTTTGCAAGTATGTTGTTTTTCCCGGCGTGTGTGCTCATATTTTTCTGTTACTATAAAATATTTACAATTGCTAAACATCAAAGTAGAGCTATTTATGACCAAGAACAGTCCATAGCAAACGCAATCCATATGAGATATGTGAACCGAGACTGTAAATACGCAAAGACGCTGGCTGTTCTAATACTGGTTTTCATCGTTTTCTGGTTCCCATTTCAGTTCACCCTTCTTCTGATCGCTCTTACGGATATTCAGGTTTGTGATGAAGTTTTAAATTATCTTCTGTACCTTGCAGCATTCAATAGCGTGATGAATCCATGGCTTTATGCCTACAAGAACACTCATATTCGGTCTGCCTTCAGGAAAATTTCTTCCACAGTGACGTCTGCATTCAAGCAGACGACCCGCCATTTGTCCACAACCACCCCAAACGAACCCTCGTTGTCGTCTGATTACAAACTCAACCAGACAGACAGCAGAATGGAACAGGTGGACATCATGCAACAGCTCGAGCTCAACTCGGACATGTTTGCAGACGACTGTTGGGCGTACGAACCTAAGAAAATGTCTGTACATTCGGTAGGCTCTACCATAACCCATAATGGACGTAAAATAGTGGTCCCCAGTCTGGTTATAGAGGATATGGAGGGGAGTTCTGACCTAAATTTGCCGAAAATTGAATCGGCATCGTCCATGCAGGACCAACCTACCGATTTAATGATTCATATGTAATTCATTTTATATGTAGGTGTGACAGAAATATTTGTGCCAATCCTTAATTTCAATCGTGTTTTAAACATGATGGTAATTATATTTCAATATTGGTGAGAAAAATGGTTGTGAATCAGCTTTGATTCGTATTTGTTCAGTAAAAAATTAATTTACCAATCAAAATAGCCTACCAAGGTACGCTTACGATTAGATGTATATTTTAAGGTACTAAAAGAATACGCTTATCCTGTGATAATTAATGGAATGCATGTATGTATAGAAATGTGTAGAAATGGCAAAGATGATGTGTGATGTTTTGTTCATACGAGTAGAAAAACAAAATAAAATTGTTGAATATTCACAAATATTTTTGTTTTAATTCCTGTAGGACACGATAATTAAGACCCGGCCGGAAGCTGTTACATACAACCAATATTGAAATTGAAATTGTCAGAGTTAGCGTAAATCATAATTTCGTCGAGAAAATGAAATAATGTCTACTCGGTAGACCTCATTTGTACCCTACAACATCTTTAGAATCCAGGAGCTTCCGGGGGCTTCGCCCCCTGAGAACCCATCAGGGCTTTGCCCTAGACCCACTGCCTACTTTTTACCCCCTCCCCCAACTTCAATTCCTGGATCCGCACCTGACAACACTTTACAGTCTGCAATGACATTATATTGATTAAAATAGCTTTTTGGTGCAGTTGAATTTGTTCATCGGCATTTCAATCTTAGAAGTTTTCCCCCAATATGTCATTATTAATTAACATTTGATTTTTACATTAAATCGGTGACGTGATATTTTTTAACCTTTAACTCTTGCATACTTTTTCTTGTCTCGACACACATTACGTCAAACTTCGTCTGTCAGTTTTCTTTCTCACATTTTTCCTGCTTTGAAGTCATGACTTCATATGCTATATACATTTTATTTTAATTTATTAGACAGAAAAAAAAGGTTGAGCATTTTTTCTTTAAATTTCAGGGATTTATGACCCTTTAACAATGTAGGTTTGTTTTTGGCTTTTTTGTGCCCCAAAAAATTGATGTTTTCAAAAAGTTAATTGAAGGGGTTATTTTCCTTAAGAAGATAGTGTCCACAGCCATCGCCCACTTCAATATTCGTTTATGTTGTTTAAAAATCTGAGAAAAATCGCATAGTTTGTCTGATAGAAAATTCAAATGAAAATTGCTGACTTCGCAACTTTTTAAAGAAAATAAGTTCATGACGCCAAAATTGGCATTTAGGAGGTCATATGAGATCTTATTGCGTGGAGTTAAAAAAAATCGATAGCATATGTTGTAACTTCTCACAACAATTTTATATTTCAGAAGAAAAAAATACAGGTCCAGATTTGTATTAAAACGTACCTTCCTTGTAATTGGTGTTAGCTTTGTTTTGCATGAGATTGCGATTATGACCTAAGTTTACACATTGATTTTGTAAAGATAAACTACTTTTGATATGTGATATTGAACTCGAAATTAAAGACACAACAGAGTGTGCCACATCTGTTTCATATTTTGATGTTTTAGTGCATAAGACATTGAGGGCTAACAACTAAACTTTATGATAAACGTGCTTCGCACTCGTGAAAATGTCAAAAAATCCTGTCCCATTCGTGAAATAAATTCCATATCCCACTACAAAACATTGAATATCCTCTCAGTTGATTCAATACAAATACAGGAGCATTTCTACATGAGAACAATTTTCAAATCTTATGTATGCACGATGAACCTTTTTAATTTTGAGGTCAATAGGTTAAAGACCAAGGTCAGAGATTTACATATTGTATACATGCTTCTACATCGTTTTCAGATGATAACTAGTTTTCTGTAAGCTTTTGCTAAGAAAGTTAAGGTCATGATTTTTTTTAACTCCAAAAACACCCTTTTAAGGGCAAAAGCTGAAGGTCAAGGTCGATGTTTTTCGTTTTTACCTTAAGCGGGCGACATAGCTTCCTTGAATAAGCTTTTTACCTTCTTTTTTTTAGATGTAGTCTCATAACTGTGTGTGCAAACAAAATTGATTAACATCTTTCAAAAAATAATTCAGTACTTAATTAATTATATTTATATTTTTAACTGCCTGCCTTCTCTGCAGATGTGATTTACATTTCAAAATCCTTGTACTATCCCTTTGCGAGCACAATTTGATCTCCCCGTCCGTGTTATAGTGTTTTGAATGCGCAGCTTTCCACACACTTTTTATATAAAATACATGTGGAATGTAAAAAGTATCTCATTATTAGCATCGTATACGACCAATATACTCTAAAATGGCCTTTTTAATTAAATATCAAAAGACAAGACTTCGAAGGAATTCCATATATCATAGAATAAATGCAATGAAAATGAGGTATCATTCAGGGTTAATAATCTAGCTATTGTTACAGGATGTGGAGTCTGTTAGAGGTTGGTCTTCTAGCCATCATACACTTACATTTATTGATCACTGTTTCATATTTACCTACACTTATAATACTAACTTGAAAATACAGATTCATTTCAATTCTCTCTCTCTCTCTCTTGCAAATACAAAGGACGGATTGCACTATAAATATAATCAAGATTCTTCCAGTTGAGCTATACGGAGCAGAGTTACACCTCCACTTTCTTGATCAATGCCGTTGTTGTTGCCAGATGGCGCCTCCCACATTTTGCCTTTCACGCTGGATTTAACGTTTGCTGCTGTCTTGTACACAGATTTTCCAGTTTTTGCTAATTCTTGTTGTAATCTAGAAATTTCAGCCTGAAAATAAAGGAGAAATAAGGAAAATATTTGATTGATTTTATTTCGCATTGTAATCTGATAAAACAAGCATTCTGAGAGTATTGCATTAGCAATACTAGTCCCCTACCGGCAAGTGTAACCTGGTTCCGGTTAAGAATTGAAAATGCCATAATTCCGTCAAAAATCAAAGAAGCGGGACGAAATGCAAACTTGATCTATAACTAATCAAGGTGAAGTCACATACCAAAATTCAGCTCAATATCTGAAAGCATTTAGAAGAAAATTGCGGAAAACCCTTAAAAATTGAAAAGGCCATCATTCCATCAAAAATCAATGAAGCGGAACAAAATGCAAACTTGATCTGTAACTCATGCATCAAGATATACTCACAAATTAACCAAAAATCAGCTCAATATCTGCAAGCGTTAGGGAAAAAGTGCGGAAAACCAAGTGGGACAGACTGACAGACAGACAGAGGGACAGCTAGACGGACAGACAGAGGGACGGACAGACTCAGAGGAAACCTATAGTCCCCCCCCCCCCCCGGTTTCACCGGTAGGGGACTAATAAGGACTTTGGGAAACAAATGGTAAACTTGAGATTTCTTGCCGAGACATATCCGTTAATCCGCTTCCTGAATCAATAATTACGCCAAACCCCCTTTTTTTTTTGGTATTTCATTGAAATTTGGTTTTAACTGTTGGAAGCACGGGTACCTCAACTAAATGTTGATACACATCAACGGTGTGTACGTTTATTACATTTACACTGAAGAGGAGAGAGAAAGAGAGAGAATTCCTCGTTATTTTGAAATAAGACTAAAAGTGTTATTTATACATATACAGGGATATCTGTGATCTAAATTTAACATCAAGAACCCAAGCCCCCCCCCCCCCCCCCAAGGCGTTGCAAACTAATGACCAGTAGTATTAAAACTGTGTTTGGCAGGATTTCTCGAGAACAAGAGGTCTATGGTCGCTTTGGAAACTTTATTGGGAAAGAAGTACTCGAACTAAACCCATAAAATGTTAAGGTGAGTTGTAGGCATGCCTCGCTTAAGATATGATGATTGCAAGAGTGCTGTTACAATGTTTCTAGCAGGATCAACGCAACAGCAGGTTGCAACTGTATTTGGGGTGCTTTAAGTTTATGGTCAACAAAACTGTCGAAGAGGCAACCATGGCATTATGGTCTAAATCTCCAAGCTTGTGGCTGTCAACGCATCCATAGACACAGAATAAACGCTTTTCAGACTGAAAGAGAACATTTGAAGGTACAAACATTATCATTTATGACAATAGTTGGGATCACATTTGACGTAATGTCAAACAACGGAAACTTGGTGGAACTCCATGAAATATTAAGATGAAGTTTCTTTGGTTGTTCAATTCGTCCAGTAACAATTTGACGCTACAACTAGTCTGTATTTGGCAGCCAAGAACAGAGGGGGAAAGCTCTCGGGGAATATGATTTTTCTTGTCTGAATAAAATCTTCATATTTCCTTCACGATCATGCAAAAAATGTATAATACACTGTATTTTATTATAATTGTTCTTAACAGTCCGATATACATGTATATACACTGTAGCAAAAGTATTACAGAGATATCAAAATGAAAAATAACAGGATATGCCTATATTTTTGGCCTATATAATAAATAATGATATTACCTCCAGCTTTTCTTTTGTAAGTCGCTCCATTTCCTCGGCCTTTTTGATAAAAACGTTGGAGATATAATTAATTAAGAGGGACAGGTAAGCTAGTCCGAACAAGATCCAGACATACGTCACTATTCTATACAGGTCGCCCGTACCACGGTGTCCAATGCGATTTTCTGAAATAGCTGTAAATAAAAATGATAATCGACATGTATGTCTTCTTTTTTCTTTTATCACGAATTGATATAGAGAACGTTGATTTTCCCCTGCATTGTTATTGGAATTTAAATAGAACACCCAAGGACCACAACTCTTCACCCTGTTTATATGTATGTACAGTCAAACCTCGTCATCTTGAACTTGATGGGTCGTGTAAAACACATTGAAGTAAAAGTACATGTATATTAAGACCAAGTGGTTGGGACTTACAACTCAATCGGTAATTCGAGATATCGATGTTCAACTGTTGGGTTTTTTGGGGCACTTTATGATACCTTCAATCACTTAAATGTGTTTACAAATTAAGTTCGGTAAGCATGAAAATTCACATCTGTGTGGTTTATTTATGGCGCATGAAGTATCAAAATATAATTGTGTATTGTTTGTAGTTACGTCTATAAAA